CCGCCAGCGGCGGGCACGTCGCCGCCCAACCGCCCCCTCCCATGCCTGTCCCCGACCGCGCCACCGCCTGCTCCGCTCCTCGCCTGCAGATCCAGCAAAAGTTGATTGCGGCGCTGTGCCTGGCCTTTGTGTTTATGATTGTGGAGGTGGTGGGGGGGCTCATGGCGCATTCTCTGGCTATCATCACCGACGCCGCGCACCTACTGTCTGACGTCAGCGGCTTTGCGGTGGCCGTGCTGGCGGCGGTCTGGGCCAAGCGCAAGTCCCAGGAGCACTTCAGCTACGGCTACCATCGCGTGGAGGTGAGGCGGAACGGAGGCAGCGACGCGACACGCGGCCGCCGCGGCCGCATGCGGGCTCGTCGACCCGCAACCCTGAGCGTGGCCCGCGCCGGCGCCTCGGCTGGTCTGCAGGTGCTGGGCGCGCTGGCCTCCGTGATGACGGTCTGGCTGGTCACCGGCCTGCTGCTGTTTGAGGCGATCCAGCGGATCATCACGCCGGAGCCTGTGAACGGCAAACGTGAGCGCGGGGGGGTGCCGCGGGTCTAGGCGCTTCGGGCTGATCACAGAGCAGCCGGGGCATGTGCCGCGCCCCGGGCTGCACCCCTGCGTCGCTGGCGCCTGGGGTGCGCCGACCTCTCCCGCCTGCCCCTGCTCCTGCCCCGCCTGCAGTGATGTTCATCATCGCTGTGGTGGGCGTGGGCGTGAATGTGGTCATGCTGGCCATCCTGGGTGAGGCTGGTGGCGGCGGCGGGGAGGAGAGGGTGGGGGGTGACGCAGTGCTGCGGGCAGGGAGGCATCCCCGTCAGGGGCTTGAACACCAGAATTCTCACCGCTGGCCTGTCCTGCCGCCACCGCAGGGCACAACCATGGCCCCGGAAGCAGCTGCAGCCACTCGCACGGGAATGGGCACTCACACGACCACGGCCACAGCCACAGCCACGACCATGGCGGCTGCAGCGGGCACGGGCACGGCGGCAGCAAGGCGGCCACCAAGCGCCAGCTGGGGCCGGTGCTGGAGGCGGCAGAGATGAGCAGGAGCAACTCGCGGGCGGACGAGCACGCCTGCTGCCATGCCGACCACGGCAGCCACAAGCACAGCCACAGCCACTCGGCAGCAGACTTGGAGGCATGCCACAAGCACGACCATGCGCACCACCACAGCTCAGATGAGGAGGAGGAGGGGCAGCACCACCACTGCCACTCCAGCGATGACGAAGACCACCACAGCCACCACAGCGCCAGCGGGCGCACACCCATCCTGCAGGCGGGTGCGCCCGCCAGCCACCACGCCTGCGCCCACGACCACGACCACCACCACGGCGGCGGCGGCGGCGGCAGCGTGCTGGCGCCCGCAGCAGCCAGCGGCGGCCACGACCACTCCAACATGAACATGTGGGTGGCTTGCTGTGCTCCAGCCATCCGTTCCGGGGATGCATTGGGGTGGCTGGGGCCTAGCAGGCAGGGACTGCACCAGGCAGCCAGCCTGAGCGGCCCACCATCCGTTTCCTCCCTCCCTCTCTCTTCTCGTATCGGCATGAGCCTGCTGCTGCGTGCTGTGCCCTGCCGCAGGCGTGGCGCCATCATCCACGTCATCGGCGACTTTGTGCAGTCCATAGGGGTGGCGGTGGCAGGCGCCCTCATCTGGCTGCACCAGGTGCGGCAGCGGCGGCGGCCGGCTGCTTGGGGCGCGGCGAGCACGCCACCCTGGCGCTCTGCCGCAGACCCTTGCTCCTCCCCGCGGCCGCCAGCTGCCACCACTCCCCTGCTCTGTCCACCCTCACCCGCCCTCGCTTGCTGCCCGCCTCCCGCTGCCGCCGCAGGACGACCCTCGCTGGTACATCGCCGACCCCATCTGCACCTTCATGTTTGCCGGGCTGGTGCTGTGGACCACGCGCGCCATCCTGCGCGACATTGGCGACGTGCTGATGGAGCGGGTGCCGCGCGGGCTGTGCATCAAGACCATACACGATGACCTGTCGCGGGTGCGCGCACGCGGGCGGGACGGGCATGCATGGGGTGCCTGTGGGGTGGCTGAGGGCAGGCGGGGGACGGCGTGCTCCCAGCCTGCACCTCGGCCTCCCTCTACCATCAGTTGCCCACCCGTTGCTCACCCTGCCCGCCCCTCGCTGCCGTCCTCCCGCCCCGCCCGCGCCAGGTGCGCGGCGTGGAGTCTGTGTCCGACCTGCACGTCTGGTCGCTGACCCCCGGCATCCCGCTGCTGTGCGCCCACGTCAACCTGTCGTCGGAGGCGGACCCCACCGAGGTGCTGCACGCCCTCACCTCCCACTGCCGCTCCCTGGGCATCGAGCACTCCACCATCCAGCTCATGTCCTGCGGGATGGAGTGCGAAGTGTGCTAGCGGGGGCCCCGCCACGTGACCGCAGCATCGCGCGCTGGCGCCTGCAGCCCAGCGATGGCTGGGTCGCAGGGTCCCCGCCTCGGCAGCCTGGGCTGCCCTGCTGTGCCTAGCGCCCGCAGCACCGATTTTTCGTTTCGCTGTTTACAATAAGGGCGCATGCCGGCAGCATCAGTACTTTTCTTCCTTGAAGCCGTGCCCTGTTCCCAACGCATGTCCTACTCCTGACCTATATTCCCTAACACTTGTCGTGCTCGCCCTCGCCTGCACCGCCAAACTGGTAGCTCAGCATGCTGCTGGGTAGCGTGTCCTGCCTACGGTGCTTGTAACAACTCCTGACATCAAGCCCGCTGCGCCTCAGTGGCAGTGGTACTCCAGCCGGCTCTTCAAGTCGCCCGCCATCACCACCCCCTCAATGCGGTCCACGGGCTTGCCGCCCTTGAACAGGATGAGCGTGGGCAGCGCTGCAGGGGAAGGAAGGCGGCAGGAGAGGGAGGAGTGGAGGGCAGGCAGGGAGGCGAGCGAGCGGCAAACGAGGGCAGTGCATCACGCGCGCTGGCAGCGACGCACACGCTCAGCACCATGCCAGCAGCGGCACACCCATGCTGCTGCCTCGCGGCTCCTGCGCAGCCCCCCTCCGGCGGCCCCGCACCTCCAATCTGGTACTTGCTGGCAACGGTGGGGTACTTCTCGCTGTCCACCTTCACAAACTTGACGCGGTCCCGCAGCGAGGGCGCCACCTCGTTCAGGATGCCTCCCATCATCTGGCACGGCCTGCAGCGGCAGCTGGGAGCAGCCCCGCTCAGGCGCAGGAGCTGGGAGCAACCATGCTCAGGCACCAGCGCCACACGGCCCAGCGCTTCGGGGCTGCGCCAGGCTGCAACTGTGCGCGGCAAACCCAGCTGCCGGCGCCGCCATACGCAGCGTGACATTGCCCCCGCGACCACGCACCCGCACCACGTCGCGTCTGCAGGGGCAGGGCGGCAGCGAGAGCAGAGTGAGGGCCGGGGCGGTCCCGCCATTCCTGCCGCCATTCCGCCGAGGAGCGGCGTGGCTGCAAGCCCAGGGCGCCGCCGCGCTCCGGCTTCAAGCACTCACAGAACTCCACCAGCACGGGTTCCTTGCTCTGCTCGATCATCTCGTGGAAGCTGGTGAAGACCTTCTTCTGCGCTGCCCGCACGGGGGCATAAGCGGCGGCGGCGGGGCGCCGCGGCAGGCGCGGCCGCCGCTGCTGCTGCAGGGGCGGACCCGCCGCCGCTCGCCGCAGCAGGCTCTGTGCATGGCTGTGGGGCCTCAGGCCGCAGGGTGCCAACCCAATCGCGGCCATCAGATCGGGGCCTCCGAGATGCCGCCAGAAACCCAGAGAAACGGGCGGGTGTGGTGCAGGTTTTGGGGCGGGGACCGCAGCAGAGGCCACCGAAATCGAAACGGCGCGGCGCAAAGCAATCGAGGGCTTTTGGAGAGGCAAAAGACAACGGTCGGCTCCATGCCATCCACCCCGCCATCGCTTGGTTTCTTCCGCAGCCCACCCTCATCTGCGCCTTCCCCCCTTGCTGCTCTCGCTCGGCTTACATCCTTACCAGCACCCCAGGCAGGATGGCGACCACGCAGGCCGCGATGCTGCGAGCCAAGCTGTTTGGTGGGGCCACCACCGGCTCGGGCCTGTCCAGCAGCGTGTCAGCGGGCCAGCACACCTCCGAGGCGCTGCGCCAGGCCACGGACAAGCTCGCGAGGGAGCAGATTCAGTCGGAGGCGAGCGTGGCCCTGTACCGGGCCAAGCTGGGAGAGGCGCAGGGGGCCGTGAAGAGGCTGGAGGAGGCGTACGTGTCCCAGATCCAGGCCAACGCCAAGCTGCAAGGTGGGGTGCGAGGGATGCGGGGCCCTCGCCGCCGACTGTTTGACGCGCCGGCGACCGTTTGACCCGGCGTTTGACATCCCATCTGCCCCGTCCCCATCCCACCCCGCCCCGCAGCTAAGGTCAAGAGCGACTACGGCCTGCTGTCGCAGCTGAGCGCGGCCGTGACCAAGGCCCAGGGGCAGTACCAGAGCCTGCAGCTGGCACACGACCAGCTGGCAGTGCAGCTGCAGAAGGCAGAGGCGGAGCGCACCGCTCTGGCGAACGCCATGACCACCCGGGCCGAGGCGCTGGCGGCGCTGGAAGGCAGGTGCCAGCAGAGCTGGGAGCACGGCAAGGGCCTGCAGGGCAGGCTTGACGAGGCGGCGGCGGCAAACGAAGCGCTGGCGGCTGACTTGGAGCGATCGCAGGCCGACCTGGAGGATAAGGTGGGTGGCTGGCCACGAGGATTGCCGTGGGCGTCGTTCTGGGTGCTGGGCAGGCTGGCAGCATACGTGGGGAGGGTGGGCAGAGTGAGCGCTAGCACCCACGTCGCGTGATGGTCAAAGCGGCACGCCTGGCCCGCCCCTGCCCGCAGGCCAAGGTGCAGGCCGAGGCGGAGCAGCGCGCCGCCCAGCTGGCTGCCGACCTGGCGACGGCGCAGCGGGAGCGTGAGGGCCTGCAGGAGCGCCTGGCGACCAGCACCGCGCAGGTGGACCAGCTGAGCCGGGAGCTGTCGGGCACGAGCACCCGCCTGGCCGACACCGAGAGCGCCAAGGTGGGTGCACAGGACCTCCCTGGGGATCTGTGGGTCTGCACCCACAGGGCTGGCTGTGGCCCCTGTTGCCCAGCCAACAGCCCAGCTCACGTGGGTGCCCACAGGCCTGGCGCGCAAGTGCACCTGCTTGGCTTCGCTGCCGCTCTGCAGGCCGCCCTGGAGGCGGCGGTCCAGGAGCGCGAGAGGGAGGCGCGGCAGCTGGCGGCAGACCTGGCCAGCGCGTGGGAGGTCGCCAAGCAGGCAGAGGTGGGTGCTGGGCAGCGGGGCGGCAGCGCAGGAGCCAGCAGCGTGCTGGGCGCCGGCGCCGGCTGAGCAGCAGATTACGAGCGGGTGCTGCCTCCGCTGATGCGCCTCGCTGTTGGTGCGGCTGCCTCCCCTGCAGGCGCAGCATGCCGCCGCGCTGCGGGCCAAGAGCGGGGAGCTGGAGGATCTGGCCACGCAGCACGCCTCGGAGCTGGAGGGCAAGGCGGCTGAGCTGGCCGCCATCGCCGCCGCCAAGGTGGGCGGGCCTGCGGCAGGGACGGGGTGGTGACACCTACGGGAGGGAGGGAGGAGGAGGTGGGGCAGCGTGCGCCTGCCGCATTCAACTCAGAAGCATGGAGGAAGGCAGCTTGCACGAGGCCGGCTGCAGGCCATGGCGCCCACCGCATGCATGCCCTGCCCGCGTCCTGCCCCGCCCATGCAGGAGGGTCTGGAGGGCGAGCTGGCGGGCAGGGCTGAGGCCCTGGGCGAGCTCAGGGCGCAGCTGGCGCAGCTGCGAGAGGAGGCGGAGGCCGTGGAGGTGGGTGCAGCAGGCAGGGCAGCCTGGGGGCCCCCATCCGGCCTGCATCGATCTGCGGAGTGCCCAGCTCCCCTCCCAGCTCTCCACTTGTCCGCCTGCATCCGTGCCGCCTGCAGGCCACCCAGGCCGGCAAGCTGGAGGAGCTGTCCACTCAGCTGCAGGCCGCCTCGGTGCAGCACAGCAAGGAGATGCGGGCGCTGGCGGACAGGCACCGGCGGGAGCAGGAGCAGGAGACGGAGCGCACCGCCCAGGTGGGTGGTGGGGAGGGTGTGGGGGGTGGCCTGTGGCGGGCAGACCAGCGCAGGACCCTTGGGCGGCATGCTGCCTTCGCCATCTCTGCTCCAATCTTCTCACCGCATACCCGGTGGTGCAGAAGCTGGGCAGCACCATGCAGGAGATGAACAGGGTGAGGGTGGAGCTGGAGAAGGAGAAGAAGGAGGCGGAGGGGGCGCGCGCGGCGGCAGACGAGGTGCGGGGCTGTGGTGGACAGCCTGGCCTGCACTTGGAGGAATGCCTGCTGCCTGCTGCAGTTCAGGTGCCCTGATTTGCACGGAGCTCAAGGTCAAGGTGGTGCCAGCTGCTGCAGCTGAGGAAGAGGGTGGCCGAGCTGGAGGCTGCCAAGGACCAGGTGGGTGGCAGCCACGGCCAGCCCTGCACCCAGCTGCAGCCCATGACTCCCCAGAAATCTGAGGCGCGCCATGCATTGCCTCCACCCTGCCTCCTGTCCCCTACCGCCACAGATGGGAACCACCCAGACGGCGATTCAGGGGCGGTTTGCCCAGGAGAGGGTGGCGCTGGAGGCGCGGCTGGAGGAGCAGAGGCGGGAGGTGGAGGAGGAGCGGCGCAAGGCAGAGGCGGCAACGGCAGCTGCCGCCGAGCGGGAGCACGCCGCCGACCAGGCGCTGGCCGCTGCGGAGAGCAGGGGCAAGGCAGCGCAGGAGCTGGCTGCCCAGGTGGGAGGTGGGGAGCAGGCAGGGGCCTGCTCGAGCCTTGCCCCCAAGCCGCTCAAGTTCTTTGTGTGTGTGCGCTGCCGAAACAGAGCGGCCACTTCCCCGCCCCGTGGCGCCTCCTTGTTGCAGCGTGCCGGCAAGGTGGAGGAGCTGGCGGCGGAGGTCAAGGCCAGGCAGGAGGCGCTGGACAGGCTGGACCGGGAGAATGGCGCCAACCTGCTCAAGTGAGGGCTGGGGCTGGGCCGGGCTGGCGGCCTGCACAGGGCCAGTCTCATCTGTTGCACAGAGACGCATGGAAAACTGCAAGTGGCCTGTGCTCCAACCCACGCTTCTGCTGCTGCTGCCTCCGCCTGCCCGTTGCCCCCGCTGCTGCCCCCGCTGCAGGCTGGACAGCCTGAATGACAGCCTGCGCAGGTGCGAGGAGAAGCTGGCGGCTGCAGAGGCGCAGCACGCGCAGCTCAGCAAGGCGCTCAGTGTGAGTAAGGCGGCAGGCACTGGAGGATGCACGCCGCTCTGCCAGCACACGTGCGCCATGCGCTACCGTCAGCCTGCTGCTGCCTGCCCAGCGCCACCTACCCCGCCGCCGCCGTCCTGTGCAGGGCAAGGAGCAGGTGCTGGCCAAGCGGGAGGCTGAGCTGGCGGGGGCGGAGCAGCGCATCGAGGCGCTGGAGGAGGATCTGACGCAGAAGACAAACATGCTCAAGGGCATCTCACAGGTGGGGAGCGGCTGGGCATGGTGCCTCAGGGGTGGAGTGGGGAGATGGCTGGGCTGGAGGGGCACCGGAGCTGGGGTTTGGGCCTTGCCTGGCCACCTGTGGGCATGATGTATGGGTGAGGTGCGGAGAGCACTAATTACAGCTTGCTTCCCTGCCCTGGTGGAGGTGGCGGCCCACGTGGCGGGCGGCGGCGGCGAGGCGGCGGCCCCTCCCCCGGCTGCCACCCAGGTCGACGGCAGGGGCAGGGCACCGCCAGGTGCGCTTGCGAGCTTGGGAGTGCAGCGCTCATCGCGGAGCTCGCTGCCTGCTCTGCTCCGGCAGCTCTCTCGTTTGCACTGGGCTCCCCATGATGAGGGTGCCTGCCCATCTCCCGCACCTGCAGGCGGGGCGCACCGCTCTACGGCGAAACCGGCTGGCGGCCGCGCCACAAAGAAGGTGTCCATCCGGGTGAGGGCTGCCCCTTGGGAACGGCGGAGTGTGTGGGGAGGGAGCTGCTGGGGAAATGCTGTGTCCTCCCTGTGCCCAGCCCTTGCTCAAAGAGCGCCTGGAGGCCAGCAGCCCTGACATCGCCGCTCACCCGGCTGCCTGCCTGCCTGGCTGGGCAGGAGCCGGGTGACCTGACTGCCACCAGCGAGGACGAGGAGTCGAGTGAGGAGGAGGAGGAGGAGGCCAACCCGCACCGCGCGCTGGTGCCCGCCAACGGCAAGAGGTGGGTGGGTGGGTAGGTGGTGGGATTCTCGGCATGATGACAGCCCAGCCAGCCGGCATCCACCAGACTGTGCTGTTTCCTGCGCACGCAATGGCTCTCGCTGTCACCAGCAGCGCAGGCGACAGACCAGGCAGCCTGCCTGAGGGGCCGCTCCTGCTGCTCGTTGCCCCGCCTCGCAGGCAGCAGGAGCGCCGCTCGCGCATGCACCCCAGCCAGCGCCCCACCAGCCAGCGCCCCGCCAGCCAGCCCCAGGCCCCGCAGCCGCCCTCCCGCCCCATCATCACAGAGGTGGACAGCGGGGACGAGGCGGGGCGGGAGCAGGAGGAGGAGGAGGCGCCGGCAGAGCGGCGGCGCGAGCGCCGGGCTGCGCCCCAGCCGGTGGCGCCTGCTGAGCCAGAGGAGGAGGAGGACGAGGGGCGGGTGCGAGGAGGGAGGTTGGGGGCTGCTGACCTGAGATGGCACAGGGCCATTGCTGCTCGGGTACGCCTGGCAGCCACCTCTTCAGTCCTGCCCACCTCGCCGCCCGCCTGCAGGCTCGCGGGCGCAAGCGCAGCGGGCGCGCCGCCTCCAGCAGGCAGACGGCGGGCTCCAAGAAGCCGCGGGGCGGCTCCGCGCTCAGCGGCATGCGCGGCCTGTTCAGCATGCAGGTATAGCGCCCGGGCGAGCCTGCTTTGCCTGCCCTCTCTTGGCTGCTGCTCCTCACCGCCATCGCTGTCGCCACTGCTCACAGCCCTGCCCTGCCCTGACCTTCCTGTGCTGCCTTGGCTGCATACGCATCTGCCTGCAGACTGCCAGCCAGGGCGTGAGCACGGGGGCCAACACCAAGGGCGCCAAGAGCAAGGCCACCGCCACATCGGGTGGGAAAGGGCGGCGGGCAGTTGCTGGTGCTGCGGGAGCCCCATGGCAGCGCCAGTGGCTTCCTACTTCCACAGCTGCGCTTCCTGCAAGCCCTGCGCGTGCAATGCCCTATGCGGCTCTGCCTGCCTGGATGCCTGCAGGGCACCGCAAGCAGATGGGCGGCAGCGGGGCTGCCAAGAGCAAGAAGAAGCCGGCGGCGGCGGCGGGGGCGGCCATGAACGTGAGCCGCTGCCTGCTGGCAGGCTGGGCTCCAGCCAACCCAAGAGCGTTGCGTGCCTGCATGGTGCTGCCAGCCGCCCAGCCGCTGCGCAAGTATGAGCAGAGCCCAGGAGCAAACCCCGCCACCTGCTCCACCGCCACTACCCCCCTGCAGCTGTTTGGCAACGAGATCTTTGGCGCCTTTGGCGGCTACGGCGGCGGCTTTGGCTTTGACGATGTCAGCCCCTGAGGGCAGGGCCCGGGCCCAAGCGGCATGCTCTGGAGGCGAGCAGGGCAGGGGAGGGCAAGGGAAGGCAGGGGTGCCAGCCAGCCCAGGGCATGTGAACCACACACTCTGCCTACCAAGAGGCAGCATATCGCTGTACCAACATGCACCGAAAGTGATGCGCACTTACAAAACTGCGTGGACATGAAATGAGAGCAGGCAAAAGGGATGTATCACTGCAATTCGTGACGCTGTAAGCAAGGATGCCATGTGCAGAGTGCCAGAAGCCACACTGTCACCCAAACATGTCCTGACCATTTACTGGCGGCCGCCGCCGCGCCCGCCATGCCCGCCCTGCCGCCCTCCGCGGCCCTTGCCGCCCGCTGCAGCCTCTGGCGCGCCTCCCCGGCCACGCCCCCTGCCGCCACGGCCTCCTGCCGCCTGCCCGCCGCCCG